ACTCCTGTTCTTCTTTTTGCGGATACAGACTAACACGGCTGTTACTCTGAAACCTGATACAGCTAGAGCAGGTTAAAAAAAAGTGACATTATCTCCTCCAATGCACCAAGCCCTGGCCTGTGTCTCGCTCCCCCACATGCACAGGGCGCAGACCATGCCTGCTGCATCAGACTCTTCCTACAGACTGCACCATCTTGCTGGCTACTCACATTTGTATCTGATACAGGTGCCAAACTCATTTGATAGGTGACCTGAGTTAGATTTAGCCCGGACTAGGATATTAATCTGCTGGACCCCATGGGTCTGGTGCAAACAAACAGCTGCTCCAGGCTGAATTAGCAGTTGAAGGAGAAAGTGGGAAACAGACATTCTCTCTTTTTCCAACAGGGCCCAAGACTCAGACATCCTCCTCCACATCCTGCTACCATGCGTCCTGCTGCTTCTCATTTTGTTTCTGCTCGCTGCTGTGATGTTGGTGAGACTGTCCAAGAAGAGGAAAAAAGGTAAGTGAAATCCTGCATGTGTCCTCCAATGAGTCGTGTTTCTGATCCTTCTGCTTCTCTCCCTCCCTCCCTCTTCCCAAATGGGAAAGTCCAGAACTCCACTAAGCACAGGAGCTGGAAATAGGGGAGCTGTCGCACCCCCTGGCTTGAAGTAGTTTCCATTATATACTGGGATTTAGTTTGCTTCAATGGCTCTCAGCAACTCCACTATACACATTGTTCCAGCGCCCCTGCCACTAAGGGCTTGTCTACATTATCCGCTGGATCAACAGGCAGGGATCGATGCAGCGGAGGGGTCGATTTATTGCGTCTAGTCTAGATGCGATAAATCAACTGTCAAGCACTCTCCCGTCGACTCCGGTACTCCACCAAAGCGAGAGGCGCAGGCGGAGTTGACGGGGGAGTGTCAGCCGTCGACTTACTGCAGTGAACACACTGCGGTAAGTAGATTTAAGTACGTCGACTTCAGCTACGTTATTCACATAGCTTTTGCGTAACTTAGATCGAGCCTCCCCCAGTGTAGACCAGGCCTTAATGACTTCTCTGCTTATTGCACCCTGCTAAGATCGACAGAGCATGTCTGAAATGCATGAGAGACCCACGGGCAACATTGTCCAAAGCTGCAAAGAACTCTGGTTATGGTGTTCGTTCTACATCTCGGTTGGAGCTGGGCAGAGTTTTACCACCAAAACTATTTTTCAGAGAAAAAATGCAGACTCGGTGACACCTAAACGTTTTGCCAAATCATGTCGAATTGTTTCAGGGGGAAAAAAAGCCAACCCTACACATCCAAAAAAAATGATCTATTTCATTTAAAAATGTCAAAACTGAACATTTGGGTTTTTCAATTTGAAACAAATTCTTCTTTCAAAAATTGTGTAAAAAACAATCAAATCTTGAAAATGGTCAAAACTGAAGAGAAACATTTCAATTTTATCTCAACAAAACATTTAATTTAACCTGAAAAAAAAGTGATTTCAATGTTTTGAAGTTGCCAGCTCCCTCTGTCCATTATTTGCCCAACTCTAAACTGCATAAACACCCCTCATGCTGTGTAGCTGCTTACTCCATCACTGAAATCAGTGGGACTCCCTGTGGAGTAAAGGTGCTACCCTAAGTAAGGGTATCCAAGTCTGACCCTAAACACCAAGGTCTCCTTCCTTTTCACTCACTGTGTCACTGCGTGGGAGCCTGGCTTGAGAGCTCAGGTGAGCTCTGATCAGTCCAGGATCTGGCGGTGTGTGGATAGCGATGGATCATTTCAGGGTCAGTCAGTTCCACAGGATCAGCTGTTAACTAAAAACATTACCGCACTCTCCGGTGATTGCCTCAGACAATGGAGCGCAGCTGTTGTCAGCTGTGGCGTTTGGGACCATTCCTGTAGAATAGACCATTTTCATGTGGGAACTTTTGCTAGCACCAAAGGATCTTTTCAAGTTTGGTTGAATTGGTTGGATGGATTTATGCTGACTTGCCCCTGTTTGGTTTGGTTCAGTAGGCTAGGTCTGCACTGAGTCTAAAGAGAAGCTGGAGTTTGGTTCAGAGGGCTGTATTGTGCAGGTGATGGAAAGCGGTCACTGACTGGTGCAGTTGGCCGGATCTCAGTTAGCACCTAGAGAACAGACCCATTTCCTTTTGGATCAGTGGCAGGGCAGCACGGAGTTAACCTAGACTCAATGGGCTGGATTTACTGTGGCACTGCAGTTTTCATACATTTCTGGTCTTCTGAGCTCAGTGTGTGTGTGTCCCCTGAAACATAGTTACAGGTCAGCCCTGCAACGTAGAACTGCAAAGCTGTGAGAGCCGCAGTTACCCCCTTATCTGTTGCTGTAATTTGGCTCTAGTTTGATCTCTTTTCTGTCTCATCCAGCGCTTTCAGGAGCATCTGTGCGGAGTGACAAGAAAATCAACCTGTCAAATTTGGTAAGGCAAATCATATGTCCTGGTAACATCACCTCTTAAATGCTGTCCTAGGGAGGTGTAATATCACAGGTGCAGGGGAGGGCCCAGAGAATTGGTCTTCAAGAGGGACCATTCTCAATAGACTGACTCAGACTTTACTGAATTGCATCAGAGTGAACTATGGTCTCATTTCCAAAAAAGAGAAACTGCAGAAATGGGAATCTTGGAATTCACACAGGAAGCTGATTTGGTTATTCGGATCCACTGGCAACAGAAAAACTAAAATAGAACCATGAACCACAATAGGTGGTTGCAATGGGGCTTTTGCCACATACTGTGGGTGTGTCATTGGTTTCATGCTTTCATTTACCAGTAGCTCATTGATCTGTTCTCCATTGTGGCTTATTACAATTAGAATATGGATGAAGTTCATGTATCTTTCCACCAGAATAAGTAGTTCATGGAAATAAAGCAACAGGAGCTACAAACGCTTATTCTCCACTCACACCAGTGTAAATCCAGAGTGACTCCACTACAAATGAACAGGCCAGATTCTCTCCTGCACTCGGACAGCACTGCACCCCTCTACCAGAGCAAAGCTGCCCCAAAGTCAGCATATCCGGCCTTCAGAAGGTCACCCCAGCATATGGGAAATCCTGGGTGGTGTAGAGTTGCCGGTGTGGCTCTTACATCAATTTACAGCTCTCCTTGAGATTTTTAGCTTCCACCGGTAACATTTCTATCCACATATTAATCATCCTGGGCTGGATTTTCCAAACCCCAGGACCCCTGGGCTGTGCACATCTTCATGCCCCATGTGCATGAGCACTTACACCAATTGTGCGCACAAATCACATCATAGATTATTTGTACAGGCAAGTTTAGCCTGGCAAGTGTAAGTCAGGTGCAACGTTGTACCTCTAGTTATGCACATTCCCCTGGGGTTTTGCCCATCAATCAGCCCCAGCAGGTGGAGGGATGTTTATTTTTCCTGAGCGGGATGAGATTCTAGGCCCACCCTGCTGGAAATTGTGCATGGCTGTGGCATCATTTAAGGTGCCGCCCCTTCCCTCCAGTCAGACTGTGGTGACAAGAGAATGGATAGAAATACCCAGTTCCAATGGGCAGAGCCGTATTTCTTTGTTAGGTATGTACGAATCTATGCACATACCTCATTGAAAGTCAGCATCTTTAGACCCAGGACCTGCTGACCCCTTATATCCCATGTCCATGTTCCCAGGCTGTGACTCCAAATGACAGTGCTTTTATTACACTAGGATATAAGCAAATTCATTGCCTTTAAAATCTCTTGCTCTGGGTCACTTGCAGCTTTTAATCATCCTCAGGAGAGGAGATCCCATGACAAGAGGTGCTTATTTCCACCCCAGCTGCCATCCCAGTAGCTACATTGTCAGTTTTACTAAGATATGGAGCCCTCGTGTATCTCATTGCGCTGAACTCAGCTCATCTTTGTTTCAGGCGGTTGGGAACAATGCAGCATATGGCAGCCCAGAGTATGCGGTTATAGATTCTCCCGCAGCCACTGACCAAACAGGACTTTACAGCAATGTTGAGATCCTTCCTAACTCACTGAACCCTGACGGCAATTATGTGGGAATCCAGCCCCACTGTCAGGTAGGAAGAAAATGCAACAGCTTCCCTGAGGAGCTCAGGACTGCAGCTAAGTCAAGATCACCCACTCAGGGCTCAGCGGGAAACACTTAACAAGGCAGGGAACTCCCCTCTCTGCCAGCTCTGCAGACTTAAGATAAACTGGACTTATTTAAAACCGGACTCAAGACTGCAGCCCTTACTCAGACAAATCGTCCCAAGCACTTCAATGGGGCTACCTGCATGACTGAGAGTTGCAGGGTAGACCCACAGCATAGGAAGCAGTCTGGGGTTAGCATCTGGGTAGGCGAGATAAGTTAGTCAGTTTTTCCTAGAAGAAAGTCTCTTCCTCCTCCCTCTCCCCACTAGAGCCACTCTACACACCACAGAGCCCCCTGCACCTCCCTTCACTCACTCAGGACAGGGGCCAATAGCAGAAACAGGAACAATTCTTTAGAGTGCTGTGCAGGCCAACACCAAGCTACCAGACAAACATGTCCCCTTTGAGAAGCCCCCCAACTGATCCCAGCCGGCAGAGTTTCTAGTTTCCTCAGTGTTCCAGGTGGGAAGTTGGTCTTTTCCCTAGACACCAGCTCAGGAGAAGAACCACATAGCCCAGTTCACAAGGCCCTTACCTCAGAGCCCTGACTGAGAACAAAGCATCTAGGGCGCAGGTCACACTAGCGACCTAGGGCCTGCGATAGCCAATGTGCAGTTGGGTTTCAGTTCCCTGTTCTCCCCCTTGCTTCCTTTTCCTGTTTATATAGCTCAGCCGCAGGGCAGGGCTCCCTGATTGCACCCAGACTGCTTTGGCTGAAAGGAGTAATACACCCGTCCACAGATACTTTAGGGATCTCAGCGATAAGTCCTCAATACATAGCCCAGACAAGTCACTTGGTTAAAGGGACCCGCTGAAGTTCATGAAGCCAGGAGCTGCTCAGCTGCAGATACTTGGGCTCCTATTCTAGCTTCTTCCCTCTGATCAATGAGGTTTTTATTTCAGGGGTCAG